CATATAAACCTACATAAAGGCAAATTCTGACATTTTTACGCAACAAAAAACACCTGTTAAATAAATAACACGTGGCAACCTATTTTTAACCAATTATATAGATAGGTCTACAGTTTAAATCCAATGAGTTTCCAATAAAACAGCAATTTCGTAAATCTGTAGGATAGTTTTTGAAGTGAAATAGGGGGGGATTATTTTCATACTGATTACAAGTTACTGACAACAAACAACCATTCATTGAATACTAGGAGTGTGCGAATAGTGATTTTCAACCTCGAGCCGAGCTATTTTAAAAATTTCGAGCTTGAGCTTTTTGAACCGAAGTTTTTTAACCTCACCTGATATGAATTATTATGCCTAATTTTACTTTCTAAAGATGTAATAGGCTAGTCTGACTTTTACAGATTAAAAGTTTTTTTTTATATTTTTTATAACCAGCCATTAGTTATATACTCCAAGAGTAGTACGGAAAAATGTTTTGTGTTTTAATCAAGGATATTGATTCAGTATTGAAAATGTTTTAATCACCTAAAATGTAACTTCTTACATTTCTTGTTTCAAATGTCAGAAATGTTTAGATATTCATTATGTTGTACTTATTAACTGATTTATTTATTTACTAGCAACAGAGCCCGTTGTGGTTAAATACAACGGTCTGTAGTAAAATAATGGTTGTGAAATCCATAAACCACTTTACTCACTAATATTAATGGTACAGATTAAGCACATAACATTAGAATCGCATACTTAATATAAGGAACTCGCTTTAAACACAAATGCAAATTGTTAACAACAATATTTAATCAAAGAAAAATCAATTAAATAACAATATAACAATAAGCTGTTAAATTGTTAACACATGTTTCGTATGTTTAGATTATGCATACTGGTAAACCAATTATTGCCATCTATAAAATTAATTGGTTTTTCTTTTCTGAGTCGGGTTAAAGGTCTTCTACCCGACCGATTTTCATAATTTTGGCCTTAAACTAAAGGTATGGACGCACCACGGATTTGCCATCAATCATCGGCATTCATTTTGACGTATAGCCTATATTGAGTTATGCACAAAATGCGCCCCTGTACATTTCTTATGGAAATTAAATTTGTTTTTTTTTTTAGTTCATTTGGCTTTTCTCACAGCCTGATTTTCATAATTTTGGTCTTAAAATAAAACTATGCAAGTATATATTTGTCATCAAGCATCATTATTAATTTATCTAATGTATTACTCAAGAAAAAATATAAATAAGATTTTTTTGATTTTTTACTTCAATTAAATATGTATTCCAGCAGTTCTAATTAATTACATTACCCTATATGTTTTGGTCTAAAAACCTTTAGTTAAATACCAGCTTTCATTTGAGCTATTGATTATTAAGATTCCAATCTTAATAATCCTACCTAAAACACACTGCTGAATCACGAATCAACAATAATTATAATCGTTTAGGTACTTATCTGCAATCAATGATACATAACTCAATTTTTATTTAGGTTATTTTATATGTCTTGGTCTTCAAATACTTCAAAGGCGTTCACTTGAGATATTGATAGTTTTAATCAGTTAAGTTAAAGAGTCCTGAATCGCTCAATCAGAAAACATAAATTTAATTAAATCTTAGAATGGAATTTAGTTTTAGATATATTTACTCAATTCTAATTACACTATTCTATTTGTTTTGACCTAAGAACCTTCAGTAAAATACCAGCTTCCATTTGAATTATTGATTATTAAGATCTGACGTACCTAAAGCACACTGCTAAATCACGAACAACCCAATAAAAAAAATGGAGTTCTTTATCATCGATTTATAGTCAAACGGTCTTGCTTTCAACCTCAACAGGAACTGTCAGACTTTGACGGGTTTCACCTAGTAAATCTAAAAAAAATCAAACTTACATAATTATTTGCAAATCTACATGAATTAGGCTTTCCAATGACCTATTAATGAATAAAATCGGTTCAGTAGAACTGTAGATTTAATTGTACAAAATCTTTAGTTCAGTATTTTCTCACCATTATAAATTGGGAAGTTGCTTAACGTTTTTGCACATAACTTTGACATGGTGAGGAAATTGTCCAAAGTGGAAGGTAATATTCTGAAAGAGAATAACATTTCCTACAAATTACTATCATGTATTTCTGGAAAATACTCAATAAAGGAAGCCTAAAGTTGGCTACAAATATAAACTTGGAAATATAAAGTTGGAAAAAAGGCGTTTTAAAAGTAATATTGTTTATTTTTATCGTTTTACCTCAAATATGTAATAAAATCTATTTTTCATAATTATTTGCAAATCTACACGAATTAGGCTTTCCAACGACCCATTAAGTAACAAAATCGGTCCGGTAGAAGTCTAGATTTAGTTTTACAAAGATTATTGCCAATATCTTTTAAATGGAGGGGAAATCGACCAAAGTGGATGTGATATTCTGAAAGAGAATAAAATTTACTACAAATAACTACTATGCATTTCTTGAAAATACTTAGTAAAGGCAGCCAAAAGCTGGCTACAAATAGAAACTTGAAAAAGCAGTTTTTAATGTATTTTTGTTATTTTTACTTTTTTACTACAAAGATTTAATAAAATCACACTTTCATAATTATTTGCAAATCTACATGAGTTGGGCTTTCTAATGATCCATTAGTTAACAAAATCGGTCCAGTAGAAGACTAGATTTAGTTGTACAAAATTTAACAAAAATATCCCTAACTCTGTATTTTCTCATTACTATAAATTCGGAGGTTGCTTACCTTTTTTGCAAATAACTTTTAAATGATGAGGAAATCGACTAAAGTGGAAGGTGATATTCTGAAAGAGAATATAATTTCCTACAAATTGATACCATACACTTCTTGGAAACACTAAAAAAGGCTGCCAAACGTCTCACCCAAATAAAAGGTGTGAAAAACACCGTTTTCAATGTATTTCTTATGGAAAACATGTTTTTTGAATTTTTTCTATATAAATCATAACAAAAACAAACTTTCATAATTATTTGCAAATCTACACGAATTAAGCTTTCCAACGACCCATTAATTAATAAACTCGGTCCAGTATAACTCTAGATTTAGGCCTAGTTGTACAAAGATTTGTAAAACTGAATTATATACCTACTATAGAAATAGATTTTGGAATTCAAATAACCAACTGGGCCCTAGTTTAAAAAAGTCAGAACTTGTGAAATCTATAAAGAGATTATATAATACTAGTCAGTCATAGCTATTTTATTTCAGTATATCATACTAATTTAAATGTTTTTTCTATTGTCATGGGCATTCCGTTCATGATTTTACATATAGTTGGTTTGTTAATCAATTTTGGTTGTATTTATTAGCCACCTGCAGATATCTGATGAACACTAAAACTGTTTTAAAGTTCCAAGTACCCAGCTCTGGGGTCTGGGCACTCAGTCATGTTTCAGTGCCAACGGACAAATATATATATTGTATATATGAATTTGAAAAGATGGAATGTTTGGCCTCTGGAAACAAAAAAAGCAAATCATTCCCGGAGGTAGCTGTGACTACCTCCAAGGGCATACCCAGGATCAAAATTAGGGGGGGGGGGCAAGAGCGTACTTGAAACAGGGGTCACGGGGGGTTTGGGGGTATGGAATACCCCCAGTCTGGAGGGGGATCCGGGAACTTTAAAACAATTTTAGTGTTCATCAGAGATCTGCAGGTGGCTAATAAATACAACCGAAATTCAGAGAAGAAACATTTTATTAATATACCAATTTTTACAATAATTTTATAGATAAAATATTGAAGATAGGTCGTCGTCTGCTAGTGAGGAACCAATGATGCTGGCGACATTTCCTTTTTGTATGGCCATGGCAATTCGTTGAACTAGGTAGCTCCTCGCTTTATAGTCACCTGTTTTTTTCAATTAGCTTGCGCCCTATTTCATTTACCCAGTTCTTGCCTTCCTTGCACCATGGCCCAGCAGTTTCCACACCCAGGACGATTAACTGGTATCCTTTTTGACGTAATATTTGAGTATTTTGTATGTTTTCTCTGGGTGGCCATTTCAGCTGCTGCTCCGGTTTGCTTTTTTGTTTGATTTATATAACTTACTGCGTGAGTATCAGAGCAAGTTAAATCCCAGATTAGACATTGGCCCTTGCTCCAGGGGATGATTGTGGCTCCATCTGGCCGCTTCCCATCATTTCGGTCAAGACCTGTGGGTTTCAGTTGGGCTGGGATGTCGGCACACACCAAAGCTTTTTTTATCAGATTGTTAACTTCAGCGATTGATTAACTTCAACCGAAATTGATTAACAACGTTTAATTACCGACTATATGTAAAATAAAAATAAAACAATATGCTGAAATTAGCGTTTACACTATTTTGAGACATTAATATAACAAACCTAGCTCGATAATCCAGCATTTATAAAGTCTTAGTTTATAAAGCGGCTTTATGTCTGTCAATGGCGTCAGGTCAGGTTGCTTAGCTGTACAATACACATATAACTGTATGTTTGTGCCCATGCCAACTTTTCACATCCATTTATAACACCCGAATTATATGGTAAATAATTTTGAAGAATGCCTGATAACTTATGCCATAAGAGATAAGAGCAATTTAGTTCGTTACATTAATGTTAAAGGCAAATGAAAACAAAATAAGGTCACAAAAAATAGGTTTATATTAATTCATTAAAGTACACAAAGTTGTTGGTTTTTACATATTGAAAGAAATTGGTCTGTTTATTAAATGTCATAAAAACCTTAATCATCTTTTATCTTTCTCATACGATTAACATTTTACTTGGATCTCAATTTTTTATACCTTATCCTGGCTTCTAGGGGGGGGGGGGTAGTCGCCCCCCTGCCCCTCTCTGGGTACGCCCATGCTAAGGCAAGCTTATTCCTATGGGAAATTTGCTAAACTTATCATATAAATAATAAAATTCTAGTTAGAGCAACATTGAGCGTAAATGGACCCTTAGTAAAATTTCTGTTACTGAAAAGTGATAATAAACAAACCTTGTCCTGTCTCCAAGCAGTGACTGAGTAGTTGGGTTGCCTCCTCATGTCCCTGCTCTGATGCCTTGATCAGCCAGTAAACACCCAGCCTAGCATTCTCTTCTTGGTCCACATCTAGATCTGTAAAGCACAGTTAGGTCTATCAATTTAGAGTATATTTCATTACATTATATAATTTCCACAGTGGCAAAAGGTTACTAATCTAACAGAAATAAGAACAGATAGCAGACAGAAAAAATTGAACATTCTGTAAAAAAAATCTTTGGAAAGTCCAGGATGAGTTCCCATGAGACGGTGGGGGGGGGGGGGGGTTACTATATTCTCTGGGGGTCCACCCAAAACCTCAGTTTGCTATCCCCGTCGCAGCAAACCTGCAGACTGAGCAAATTTTCCATTTTACCTGATTGGATTTACACTAAAGTTTCTCCTTCAAAATAATAATCATTCCCTGTTTAGGCTACATAGAATTAGTTTAACGAGTACTTAGGTTTGCTGCAACAGGTAGGGTGAAAAAGTGTTTTTTGTTGTAAAATGTTAATACGGTAGTTTGTAAGAAATGAATGTATTTTCTAAATTTGATCAAAATACGTTCATAAACAAGCAAACTGCAACAGTTGACTTATTCTCCATAAAAATAACATGGGAATTTTAAATTGAAAATTGTTTGGAATTTTCTCCGTAACCATTAGGAGCATAATAACGGTTCAATATACTAAATTATTTGTTTTTTTAAGCTCTACAAAATGGTTTGGATCGAAATTGTGAAATTTTGTGTTTTTAGGGTAAAAATGGGAAAACCCTATTTTTACCCCATAAAACCCCCGTTCCCATAGTCTGATCAGTGGTTGGCAAACTCGCTTGAATAAATGTAGGATAGTCTAGTAAGAAATAAAAAAATTTTGCAAATTTTAAAATTAATAATTTATAATAATTAATAATAAATTAATAGTTAAATTAATAAAATTCTAAAAACCAATGCCTGAAAATGCAGACATGGTCAACAAATCCCCATCTACGTCATCTTTATCTAAACCGTCTTCCTCAACAACTCAAGCCAGTTCTACACACCCTTCTATTCTGAAATTCCAAGTTCTTCGACTGATTACACTTTCAATGTTCCTGTTAATGTCCCGTCACCCTTCAAAAGAACTTTGTTTTGGCCCAGTGAGAACAAAAAAAAGGCCCTTAAGAAAAAAAACAGTCAAGATCCCTGCAGTCCTTACCTCACCTTTTTGGAGAGACTATAAAAACAAGATAGAGGAAGAAAAAAGCAAACAAGAAAAAGTTAAAGAAGAAAAGAAGAGAATTAGAGAAAACAAGATTAAAATTAAAAAAGAGAAAATTACAGAAAGAGAGAAAAAGGTCTCAAGGAAAAACACAGATAAACAAGAAGCCAAAGTTGAAATCAGTGACACCAAAGAAAAAAATAAACAGAAGCTGTCCACATGTGTGGAGGCAGAAAGTGCAGACACTGTTTACAGAATGAAAGAGGTTTTTAATATCAATAGTTTTAAATCGGGCAACACAAGTTTGAATGTTCAGGATCTCCGTCCGGGGCAATGGGTCTGTCCCGTATCCATATGAATCGGGAGAATTAAAGTATTTTGTTGGTCATGTTTTATCAACTAACAACCAGAGTAAAACCTCAAAAGTAAAGTTTCTTACCCTGAAACAGCATAACATATTCGTATGGCCAAATAAAGAAGATGTCGATATCAAAGTGCCGTTTAAGGACGTTGTTAAAATTTTAAATGACCCAGATATTGATAAATGGGGATACCATACATTTTACGAGTAAAACAGGAAGTGATCTTCTAGACATTTTACGACTACAACAGGAAGTGATCTTGTCGACATTTTACAACTAAAACAGCAAGTGATCTTGTAGACATTTTACTACTAAAACATGATTTGATCTTGTAGACATTTTATGATTACAACAGGATGTGATATTGTAGAACCAAGCTGCTACAAGTTTTTGCAATTTAGAGACTGAATGTACTGTAACAAAATATGAAATGTTTAAATTTACAAAATGTAAGTTACATCTTATTTTTTAAATATGTGTAAGTTAGGCCTAAATAAAACTTTTATTTCAAATAGGCCTATTTATTTAATCATCCCCACATGAAATCAATACTGCAATATTTAATCATTAATATGCATAATAGCTTAAAATGAGAATGAAAGTTAATTATTTTGCTCTAAAACGTTGAGACTCCTTAACAGTGGCGTAACAGATTTTTTCGGGCCCCCCTGCAAACATATGTTTCGGGCCCCCCTCCCTCGAGTTATTTTTAGACCACCGGTACAACACAATCAAACGTCCTCCCCTCCCCTCCAAAGTTATTTTTGGACCACCGATACGATCATCAAACTATTACCGTCATAAATAGAGTAGTGAAAACAATATGTTTAATGCTTCATTAAAGGGCCTGTTAAGTATTTCAGTCAGTCATGGTTTTGATGATAAAGTTACATCACTACATCATTACCTATATTAATGGGAGCCTACCAGTAGACCGACAAGATACTTGGTCGTCTGGCCACTAGACCGTCTTTTTTAAATAAATAGATAAATACTGAAAACCAGTACGTCGACAAGTTATTTCGTCGTCAGTCCAGTTGACCGGCCTGTAAAACTAAATTATTATATGCGAGAAACAAACTGCTCGGCAATCGACCCGGCCGACTTACAACTTGCTCGTCTTTTAGGTGGGGATAGGGGACAGAGTGGGAGGAGCTAACCGGGATTACCCAGGAGTTTGATGCGCTTCTCATGGTCGAACCACGTCGCTCGAGGCTAGAAGCCAGTATTGCCAACTGAAAGTACCAGCTCCGTTGAGCACTACACACGCGGCGTGTTTATACAGTTTGGCGTGCTTAGACCGTTTAGTTGATGTTGGCGCGCAATTCTAATGGATAGTTTCGTCGTTTCTATGGCAACCGTGCCGTGGCCTTGTTCTTTGTCTCGCGCATTCCTCTGCTATTGTATCATTATCTGCATCGGAAGTGGAGATTAGCTTATATGCATTGAGTCAAATAACAATTTCTTTCGGGGTTTTAGCGAATTTCGCCGTAGGTGGCACGGTAAGACCTAGGGTCGGGACCGATTTACTTTTTAATTTTTAAGTCCCAATTTTTTAAGTCCAAAAACACAATTCGTTCAAATCATATATACACGGTGTTCAAAAAGGCTGGGGACATAATTTACGTACTGATTTCTTGGATCAAAATAAAGAGAAAATCAAGAAAAACATTTTTCCCAAAATCACTTTCTTAACAAGGTATTCACCATTTTGTATCTTTTACATCAACTTTTTTATCTTTGATTTATGCAACCGATCTTCATGAAATTTTGTATGTATGTTAAGATAAAATAGACCCATTTTAGAAAATAAATTTATCTATACTGTACGTTAAAAAGCTTTTAATGTTTTATCTCAATGTCTGTCTTCCTGTCTGTCACGGGCATCTGTAGGGTGGGCTAACACCCCGTATTCATTTAATTTTAAATAGTTAAACATACTTACTCTACTTTAATAAAATACTTGGTCATTCGAGGATATTTACTGTAAAATAGAGACGTGATTCCTAATTCCAAATCAACTAATGAGTAAATTGTTATTCGATTATTGTCTTCAAGATAAGTGGTTACTTAGAAAATAATAATTTAACATGAGCAAATATTACAATATTGTATCTTGTTGCAAAATTAATGTTGATAAATATATTAATAGAATAATGTAGTTGCTGTGAGTGGGATACACATGATAAACTGTTGGTACATAATGACGATTTACGTTTCGTTTAGAAATATCCACCTTTTAAGGGTTTAAATTTAGGGGTCAGAATTTTATACTCTCGAGATAACGAGATAAACCGTTATAGACTTACGTTTTCAGTTTTGACCCATTTCAATTATAATTAACTAACGGCTAAATTTTATCCTTATATATAATACGTGAAGGCGATTTCTACAAAACACTACTCCTCCGTTAATAATGGACCGATTTTTACAAACGACGTGTCAAAATAAGGTATTTTTTGTGTAGACGCCCCCTTTCACCAATTCCTGTAATAAAAATCCTCGGGCTTTGCCCCACAGGCCATCAAAGTTGGAGTTTCTCCCATAAGATTAACATGGGGGAATCCAAATATTTAATTGTCCCCACTTATTTGAGAGAACGGCTGGGCGTAGAAACTTGGTAGAGGTGTCCAAAGAAAGGTCTTGGTCTGTAGATGAGTTATCAAAAGAAAAACTAATCAAAATCCCTTAGGACTCTGCCCCAGAAGCCTTTAAAGATCCCTTTACAGAGTTGTTTACATTTTGGCCATGTGAATAATACTTTTTAATGAAACAGCTGTTCATTTTTAAATTGTATTTCAAAAAACACACATTTATTGGGAGTTACTGAATTCTACCAAATAAGTATTTGCAATGTTAATGTTATTTTCTGATTGTAAAATTGATTTTCTTCTTTATCATGTCATGTTTTGCAATATAACGTTCCATTACGTAAGCAGTGGAAAATCCTTTTATCACAGCAATTCTTAAATTATTTCTTATTGGACTATCTTATATCTATTGTATGGGTTGGTGTCTGCCTTTTTCACCACTTTTGCCTACATTTTATCATATTATTCAACACATATGAAATATTTATGAAGAAATATCTGCTCTTATCGTGTCTAATAAAATCCAAACATAGAAACTTTGTCTAAAATGGTACCCATCTTGACAAATTATTTGCACCTGCCTATATTACGGACTTTGGCACGGTTTGGTAACGTTATTGAAAATAACACGACATTTTGGCTGTAAAAGATGGTACGGAGAAAAAATACGTTTTATGCAGCTACTGTCATGACAGAAAGGTCATATTCCTTTTAAACTAGATCACATTATTCTTTATAAGATACGTTGATTAACCATATGTAAACGTCAATATATACGTAACAGCCAATTTACAGTATTTTTGCTTTTTGGAAATGTCCCATTGCTATGTCATTTGCATTATTTGTTGCCTATGAAGCCACACGACAATATAAACGAGGAGGCCCCTAACAGTACAAGAATAAAAGCCAACTTCACTTCAAGTATTCCACTACATTAAACA